CGTTCTCTGACTTTCCACCAACCCCCTTCGTTTTCTCCTAACAGGTCTCCCAACCTTCACCTCATTTTCCATCACGTTTATTTCCTCACCCCCCCCCCCCCCCCCCGGGCTCTTTAAAAATGACCCCGATGACCGATCTGATGATTTTAATGGTTCCCTCAGCCTTCAAACCCCATTGTGTGCCCTACGTCGGCTTCTCGGCCTGCGTGACAGCTCCTGGCCAATGAGAGCCAAGCGCACACCGCGTGTGAACTCACGATCCGTTAGACCCGCTGAGTGTACACACACACAGTGAGGGAAAAAAAGTATTTGATCCCCTGCTGATTTTGTACGTTTGCCCACTGACAAAGAAATGATCAGTCTATAATTTTAATGGTAGGTTTATTTGAACAGTGAGAGACAGAATAACAACAACGAAATCCAGAAAAACGCATGTCAAAAATGTTATAAATTGATTTGCATTTTAATGAGGGAAATACGTATTTGACCCCTCTACAAAACATGACTTAGTACTTGGTGGCAAAACCCTTGTTGGCAATCATAGAGGTCAGACGTTTCTTGTAGTTGACCACCAGGTTTGCACACATCTCAGGAGGGATTTTGTCCCACTTCTCTTTGCAGATCTCCTCCAAGTCATTAAGGTTTCGAGGCTGACGTTTGGCAACTCGAACCTTCAGCTCCCTCCACAGAGTTTCTATGGGATTAAGGTCTGGAGACTGGCTAGGCCACTCCAGGACCTTAATGTGCTTCTTCTTGAGCCACTCTTTTTTTGCCTTGGCCGTGTGTTTTGGGTCATTGTCATGCTGGAATACCCATCCACGACCCATTTTCAATGCCCTGGCTGAGGGAAGGAGGTTCTCACCCAAGATTTGACGGTACATGGCCCCGTCCATCGTCCCTTTGATGCGGTGAAGTTGTCCTGTCCCCCTAGCAGAAAAACACCCCCAAAGCATAATGCTTCAACCTCCATGTTTGACGGTGGGGATGGAGTTCTTGGGGTCATAGGCAGCATTCCTCCTCCTCCAAACACGGCGAGTTGAGTTGATGCCAAAGAGCTCCATGTTGGTCTCATCTGAACACAACACTTTCACCCAGTTGTCTTCTGAATCATTTAGATGTTCATTGGCAAACTTCAGACGGGCATGTATATGTGCTTTCTTGAGCAGGGGGACCTTGTGGGCGCTGCAGGATTTCAGTCCTTCACGGCGTAGTGTGTTACCAATTGTTTTCTTGGTGACTATGGTCCCAGCTGCCTTGGGATCATTGACAAGATCCTCCCGTGTAGTTCTGGGCTGATTCCTCACCATTCTCATGATCATTGCAACTCCACGAAGTGAGATCTTGCATGGAGCCCCCGGCCGAGGGAGATTGACAGTTCTTTGTGTTTCTTCCATTTGCGAATAATGCAACCAACTGTTGTCACCTTCTCACCAAGCTCGTTGGCAATGGTCTTGTAGCCCATTCCAGCCTTGTGTAGGTCTACAATCTTGTCCCTGACATCCTTGGAGAGCTCTTTGGTCTTGGCCATGGTGGAGAGTTTGGAATCTGATTGATTGATTGCTTCTGTAGACAGGTGTCTTTTATACAGGTAACAAGCTGAGATTAGGAGCACTCCCTTTAAGAGTGTGCTCCTAATCTCAGCTCGTTACCTGTATAAAAGACATCTGGGAGCCAGAAATCTTTCTGATTGAGAGGGGGTCAAATACTTATTTCCCTCAATAAAATGCAAATCAATTTATAACATTTTTGACATGCGTTTTTTCTGGATTTTGTTGTTGTTATTCTGTCTCTCACTGTCCAAATAAACCTACCATTAAATTATAGACTGATCATTCCTTTGTCAGTGGGCAAACGTACAAAATCAGCAGGGGATCAAATACTTTTTCCCCTCACTGTATTAATACGGTTCACCTCTCGGCGCCCCTTACAAAAAGTAATGCTTGCTCCCAAACGAGAAGGCAGCTTCTTTGGTTCTTTCGGTAAAGTCACGTAGAATGAGAATAAAATAATAAATTGATAAAATAAAGTAACACAATAATATTCTCAGAGAATGTGATTCTACGTGACTTTACCGAAAGAACCAAAGAAGATGAATCCTTGCAGTCACGAAAGCTTTAAATCGAAAGAGAAGGCAGCTGTTTGCTCCCGAGAACTGCCCCTGATCAGCTCGCCCGTGCATATACACACACTGCCAAATTTGGAATAATTTCAGAAATAATCACCGCCTCAGAAATCGCTGCCTTAAAAGGGGAGGGATCGGCGAGCCAGGAATGTGCTTGTGGATACAGCTCAATAAAGGCGAATATTTTTCGTTGGCCGGGGATAGGTTTGAATGGACCTCGATGCTGCTGCGTCCTTTCATTGTTAAGCCACCATGGGGCCCACGGACGCAGCACTTGTGCTATTGCCACTATGCGTAACGTAACGGTCGGCACGCTGGGTTTGCAATGCGGAGGTTGCCGGCTAGATTTGATCTCCCAACAGTTGGAACGGTGGCGCAAGTTTCTTAAATTCCTCACCGCCTCTCTCCACCCAGCAGCACGAATGGATTTGAACCTCAGTGAGGCGATCTGTATAGCATGCCTTGGTTGGGTAAATTGTGGGAACTCGCACACACGTTTCAAGATGTGGAATAGTAGACCAAAGTGCCGTCTGGGAGGGAGGGGGGGGTACTGTTTAGAGCTCCCCTTAACCAGCGGTGGCTTGAATAGGCAGTTGCGGGGCATTACAGTTAAGACAAGAGTTTATCCCTGCACAAATTAACTATATGTGATTTTACGAGGTAAGGCCCACTGAGCTACATTGCTATTTTTCAGAAGCGACCTGGCCACAAATCATAGCTCAACAAAGTGGCTTATCATGTGGAAATATATATATATATCAGCCAAATAAACTAAACGCATGATGAGCATTGGTGTGGCACCTATCTCTGTCGGTAGCCATGGACCAGTGATGGGAATTGCACATTCCCATGGCAGGGGTCATTCTCTATTTACAAAAAACTTAATTTGACTTTTCACTAAGTTGTAAATATATTTTTGACCGCAGATGGGTTATGGGTTTCCTCCTGATTGGGAGTTGAACTCACAGTAAATGATTGCTCTAAGCCACAGCACCACCTAGCACCCCTGTGCAACATTGCAGCGTGTTTGTACGTGAGGGGTTGTGGTGGTGGAACAGTGTTATTTGGCACTGCACTGAGATTCCAACTGACTGGGTTTAAATTCCTCATGATGGATGCACACTGGGGGCAGCTGTTATTTTAGACGTGTTTGAAACACAAAATTACAATACACGTGTAAAAACGCATTAATTCACTTACAAATGTTAAGACTTAATGCGTACACAAAATCACTTGTGCAAGAATTGTTGTTTGTCAATGTATGCAAATTGTGCAAAAGTGATTACGCGAGCAAAAACTATCCTGACGTGGCAGCAGAACAAATCTGAAACAGACAAAAAGAAAACGCTGACGATACAAAATTATAATTCTGATCACAGTCCCGAAACGCAACAATGAATTGATTCACTAAGGGAGGGAATAATTACACCCCTAATTATTCCTTTGTGTTATAAGTTATTGGTAGGGTGATGCTCAGTTCGCATTATTATACTCTTTGGTTCTTTCGGTAAAGTCACGTAGGTATAAAATAAATCACAACTGCCGAGCAGTCTGCATCAGCAAAAGGCCATGCTTTCCCATCTGATGATGGACGCTTGTGTTGCACCCGAAACGTCGTGATTTATTTTATTTTATACCTACGTGATTTTACCCAAAGAACCAAAGAGTATGGATTCCTGCAGTCACGAAAGCTTCAAATTAAGATAGCATTATTATATTATGATATCTTTGAGTATAAAATCCAAGTCAGAGTTCACTCAGCCCATCATTATTATTACAATCATGTCTCTGTAATGGGTAAAATAGCACCACCTGGTGAGATTGAACCACTTAATGGGAAGTCAACAGTGTTTATCGTAATAGTAATAGGTTTTTACCCTTTTATCTGGCACCAAAACTAACACCTTTATACAAGGGTTAACGTTTGCAATAACCACAACACAAGCAGTCAAAATGCAAACAAAAGAGACAACTCTGATAATAATATGCACTGTCCTTGAAATTGATTGGTCCACACCCGAGACGGTTTTTCTTAGAGCCTCGTCTCCACTGGTGTTGGACCAGATGACGCCAAAAGGCGTACAACTCAAAAACAGCGCACTATCAGAGTATTGAGAGCTCGGGGCAAGCATTTACATTGTGAGACCTCCTTTGCCAGTAGCAAGATATAGTAATAGGTTTTTACCCTTTTATCTGGCACCAAAACTGACACCTTTATACAAGGCATCATGTTTGCAATAACCACAACACAAGCAGTCAAAAAGCAAACAAAAAGAGACAACTCTGATAATAACATGCACTGTCCTTGAAATTGATTGGTCCACACCCGAGACGGCTTTTCTTAAAGCCTAGTCTCCACTGGTGTTGGACCAGATGACGCCAAATGGCATACAACTCAAAAACAGCACACTATCAGAGTATTGAGGGCTCGGGGTGAGCATTTACATAATGAGACCTCCTTTGCCAGTAGCAAGATATAGTAATAGGTGTTTATCGTTTCAATATGAAATTTTCACCGGGATCGTGTGGTGATACCTGCAGTTCAGGTAGGCAATGAGTTCCACCTTGGGTTAACTAATTGCAGGAGACATGAGAAGGTGATTAATTAAACTAATAGGAAACTTTTTTACGCACCAGTGGGTGCTGAGCTGTTGCCAGACCTGCAGCGTCCCAAGAGGACGCATTCATTATTTGGCTAGTAAACGCGATGTGGACCTCACTGCTCAAGCTGACTCGGAGCCTCTGCATGTCTCTGACTGGCTCAGGATCGGTGTCTACTCATGAGAACATCTCGGAGATACTGATTTTTCTCTCTCTCTCTCAAGTATCGTAATGTCGTAATCGTTGTCGTCCTTTTTCGCTTGCCTTTTTCTTTCAGAAACCCGAGAGGAGAAAGCCAGGAGGTTGTTCCGACACTACACCGTGGGTTCCTATGACAGCATCGACACAAGGTAAGAATAGGCTGCAGCTTTGGATTATTTGCTGTGAATTCTCCATCGGCAGCATGGCGTTGTTGCACAAACAATCTCCTGGCTTTTGCTCGGCAGCGAATTTGCACGTATACAGTGCCATTCCTGGCAGTTGGGATTTCATTGAGGCCGCACCTCTTTTTTCAAACGGGTGAGTTGGCCCATTAGAAGCTAATTAATTTTTTTTGCAATTAGCGTTTGGACGAGCGGATAATTTGTGCGAGTAGAGTATTTTTTTTTTTTAGCAAACGCCTTACAAGGTGTTAAACTTGGCACCATGCAATTTATTTTGTGTCTTTAAATGCGACTGAGTCAGCACGTCCCAAGTTACGCGAACTACGATATTTAAAAGGTTGAAATAGTTATCACGATCATCAACCAAGCGTATGAATATCAGCTTCCAACAAGCGATCTCGCAGGGTGTGGGTGGTGTAGCTGAAGGTAAAGAACAAGGTGCAGCCCTGCAATGTCTCCCTGGTGAGATGGACCTCCACTATTGTAACAGGGAGCTCTGGAGAAGTGGGGAAGTGAGAGTTACCCACACTTTACCTCACCCCCACGCGACTCGCTGTGGTGTATCTATTTACACTGCTGGGGTGGACAGAGGCCGGGGGTGTGGGTTGGGGCTGGGTGGGAGTTGATTTAAGAAGCTTGTTCCATCGTTCAGCTGCCTTGCCGGGAGATCGAACTGTGACCTCTCGACCGCGAGTGCAGTGTGCCGACCACGAAACCAGGGCAGCACGTGTAATGACGTGCGTCATTAATCCACTGCTTTGCGGATTTGGCAGTCGCCACGTGACCGCGAGTTTTTATTGCCCGGAATGATCGCTGACCTTCATTGATTTAACACATCCAATCAGAAACGAAGCACTTCGCCTGCTAATGTCCCCAACGGCTCCTTACCAAGTTAAGCGTGGCACTGCTCATATTGTTTTTTTTTTTGAGGCACTCGTAAAACGTGTGCACACTTTAGCGCTACTTGGGCTTAATGATGAAACGAATTCAACGTTGTTCCCATCGAGCATAATTGCATTGTCTTAGCGTTTTACAAAGCCGTACGACGCTGCGTTGCCCCACGTTTTATTCCGCGTGTATGTGTGTGTGTGTCCGCGTGTGGATTCATTTGGTATCCCAACCCTGACAGGGCAGGCACATTGTTAAATCATGACATGTCATTGGCCGAGAGAAGCATGTCCCTTGATGACGTCACCGAGAAAACAAAAAGCGGCCTCTTGGGCTCTCCCAGAATTGAGATTCAAGCCACCGATCCTATAACTTAACATTTGTTGCATTAAGACGCTAAATGCTATGTGGCTGGCTGACCCAGGGGGCCTATATTGTTCCTGACAGAGCACTGATAAAATCCTGGGTTGGATTCTGAGATCCCACTCGTGATTAAAATTGACTATATCTGAAGTGTAACGTAAATATGACCTCAGCCCAAGTCACCAATGACTGTACAAAAAGCATATAGTTTATGTTTTAACTTGAATCAGCATAATCAAGCTGTGAAGATTTAAATGTACAGCATCCAACATCTTTTAAACAGCATGGATTTCTGAGATCCCACTCGTGATTAAAATTGACTATATCTGAAGTGTAACGTATATATGACCTCAGCCCAAGTCACCAATGACTGTGCAAAAAGCATATACGTTCATGTTTTAACTTGAATCAGCATAATCAAGCTGTGAAGATTTAAATGTACAGCATCCAACATCTTTTAAACAGCATGGATTTCCAATATAATTTGTTTTGGTTGTCAGATTGTGAGTAAAATTCCAATGTGTGTCATACGCCCTCCTCTACCCAGCACAGCCAAATAAATAAAGTTGTCACGCGAACACGCCTGTCAATTCATTATTGCTTCAGCACCATAGGTGTGTTGGACAGCGATCGGCGATATCTTAACAATCGGTACGACGTCTTCACTGGCGGTTACAACCAGCAACATCAGACGGTTGCCAGAATTTGTGAAAATCTCCCTCCAGCCTTAGGTGTTAAATAGGCGGTGTGATGTCATCAGAATGCCTCCCCCCTCCAGCGAGCAAGGCGTATAAGGAGTTATGCCTAGAGGGGCATGTATTAGCATAAATTATAATATGTAACGTTTGATTTAAATATAATTTGTTCCAAATTCATAACAGGAAAGAAAAGCACGTTTAAATATACCAAAAATGTAGTTTTTTCACATAGTCTGGCACCATTCTCAATCTCGTAACATCAATCCAAATTCATAATCAGCGTAGAGTCAGCGATAAATCCCAAAAGAATAATTGCAAATATGAAAAGAGGGGCGGCGGCGGCGGGGGGGGGGGGTGAAATTCACAAATATATTTCACGTTTAAATATAGCCAGGCCAAATGTGTGACAACTGGACATTGCTTATAATACGGAGTGCCAGGCCTATTTATCAGCGAGGTGAAATTACGTAAAAGCCAAGCTGCTATGCGGAGGGGGGCGGGGGGAGTGGCTGATGCTGGGAAATAATTATGGGAAAAAAATATAGAAAGCCCAAGCTTGCAATGAACCAGTGGGGAACACCTGCAGAGGCTGTCAGAACGGTAGTGTTGATGATGATGAATCGGCTGAAATTTAATTTGTTTTTTGGGGGGGGGAGGGGATATGGGTGAAACTCCATGCTCACCGCGCCAGACACTGTTTCCTTGGGCATGTGATGAATAGCAGATTGCTCACCCACCACCCGCTGTTATCTTCGCCTGACACATTTGCATTGTGGCATTGTCGGTTCAAATCCTCGAGTCGCAAAAAGGGAGCGAAACCAATAACAAAAGCACACACGTCGATCATAGGAACATCTTAAGGCAACGTATAAGGTGTTCAATTCTTATTCTGCTCTCTCTTTTGTGCGTCTATTAATACGTGGGTAAATGTGGGTGATTTGTTGAGTGCTGCTGATGAGTTTCAAAGAGCACGAAGCTAATCCGCACGCATCTTACGCAATTGATTGAAAGCTAATTTCTTTAGAACTCCTTTTTTGTGTTTAGTTGTCCTTCCTCCGCACCTCCGATTAGCACAGTTGGCTGCGTACGGTGCCAAAGAAGTTCAACATCGAATTGCTCTTAAACACGTGTACTTTGACGACCTTTTTATAGGTTCTGTGTTCAACATTATGGCGTCCAGGTGTTGGTATAAGCAAGACACTCAGTGCACAATTAGAAGGTTTTGAGTTCAAGTCCCAGTTAAGGGCGTCAGTTCAGCCAATCATACATTTGGGGGTCAATAAAAAAAAACATTATCTCGAGAGCTCCCTCTAGTGGAGGGTCCTTAGCCAGCAGTGGCTTGAGGAAACAATTGCAGGGCAGCACCTTGAACTTTACTTCTACATGTCAAGTCAAGACAGACAATTGCTCCTGCTCAAATCAACATTGGGTGGTACTCAGCTCTGCGGATGGTCACGAGCCGGTGGTTGAAATTCCACATTCCTATGGCTGGTACTTTCCATAAAGTGTTATGGAAGAGTCACCAGCCATCGAAATGTGGAATTTCGACCACTGGCTTGTGGCGAATGTGCCTGCCCTGTCAGTTTGGGATACCAAAAATACTCACACACATTTTATTCAGTTTTTGTGTGTGTATGAATATGTGAGTACATGTGGGTGATTTGCTGTAGTGCAAGCTAGTCCGCATGCATCTCACTCAATTGCTCATAAGAACATTGTACACTAATGACCTTTTTATAACACTTCAGGGAATTTACCAACCGCTGGCTCTTGGCATTTGCTTATTTTAGCCTGATGAATAAATATATAGCCTTGTTTACACAGAACATATCAACTTCAATACTGTATATAAACAAAAACAATTCAGACGATGCAGTGTACAGCCAGGCGTGTGTGAAATTCGGATGGGTGATGTATAAGCCGTGGGCCATTTGTGCTGAGTAAGCAGGGTCAGGCCTCGTGGGAGCTGGGGAGAGTGTGAGAGTGAGGTGGGGTGGGGGATACTCTTGGGGCTGTATATGGGGGGGTGCTTGTGGTGGCCTCGGGATTGTGCAGAGGTCTCACAGCGGTGGCTGCTGTGCTGTGTAAGCGCTCGCGCGCTGAGCTGCTGTTGCCATGACGGTGGTTGGCTGCAACCAAAAATTCCCGGATTCTGTCACTCTGGACAGGCTGTTTGACTTTATTGCATGCTCGTCTGCCATCCAAATCATTGCTTTGTGAACGCAGCCATCCGTACAATCTAGCAGGCACGTAAAAGGTGCAGCCCTGAAACTGCGTTGCGCACGCCACTGTTGGCGGAAGGGACATCCACTAGAAGCCTGATCTAGGGAGCCCCCTCTAAGTGGGTACTGTAGTTGTGGACAACTCTTACACGCTGGCGAAACATCTTGAAAGAAACCCAAAGTACGTTGTACTCCTATCGTGATTTTTTCTACTGTTTGTTGTTGTAATGTTTTTACCCGCCCCTACTGGACATCTGTGACAACGAGCTTTATAGCCCGTCGTATTTCTCCAGTGTAAATAAATATTCTGATTCTGACCGACGTGCCGCGGGGAGGCCTTCATCCAGAAGTGGATTGGAAAAAGGGGCTGCGAGTTAACTTACAGGGACGTTGTTTACATGGGAAAGTGGCCATATGGTCGTTGTGCTACGATCCTATCCTGACAGGTTGCCCAACGTGGATACCGGCAGTGGAAAGTGATGTCTCAAGCCTGTCCCGAGTCTCTCCTCAGTCGACGCAGCCCAAAAATAAGAATCAAGTTGGGTTGTATTAAAATAAACATTGAGAAGTCAAAAGGTGGCTTGGGCATTCTTGTTGGTCACACGACCTCCTCGTCTGCCTTTCCACCCTTTATAGGTGCTAACCAACGTTAATTCGTCGATCTTTGCACTTGTGTATAAATGTACGTGTGTGTATGTGCAATATGCAAGGGACTCTTCTCACGAGCCAGTTAGGTTCCAGAGGTCTATTTATAAGTCGATTTGGTCGTAAGTCCAACTTTATTTACTCCTGTCGA